AAAGTTCGACTGAATTAATGCAACGTTGCATTAAATCGACTCTCGCGCCTCTACCGGCCGAACATTATTTCAAGCGAACCCCATAGAGTTGTGTCCCTTGGAGCGCTCTTCACGAATATCCTACGGACAACGTGTGATTGAAACCAGTTCGGCAAGCACCGTCAACAAAGCGTGCGACAGTTTTCAATGTAGTTTACATTCCATAAATGGCAAGTGTTCTCTGTTTGAAAGCTGTTCGCCTCGAAGTTTCAATTATCGATTTCAGGCAAGTCGTAAGGGATAATAGATCTTTTATTGCATCAATAGGAAGCTAAAGTGAGTGCATATGCCCCCAATATATAAAATAAAAGGCCAAAATATTGTCGAAAATGTGTGACACTGTGCCTTTAACGACAACAACGCATCTGTGGTCCCTGTAGTGTTGTCTTTGGCGATCTCAACATATGAACACACGTGTAGGCCTTATTGTATTTGGTAACTTAATCGTAACTGTAGGTCCCAACGTTGTCATATTTGACAACTCCAACACATGTATAGGCCGTCATGATCTTATATATGACTACTCGGAACGCACCTGTAGGATCTCTCGCTCTCATTTACACCTGAAAGATTTTTTAATATAACTGGATGTTTAAGATGATCCTTGTAAGTCAATCACACTACAAAGGGTTTTACAACTTCTACTACCATCAAGCAAAATGTAAAGCCAGGGATTGATTTGAACAAATAATAAAACCGCATCCGTTGTTGAAGGACTGACTGAGTTTGGTTTTACGCCGCTTTTAGCAATATTCCAGCAACATCACGGCGGGGGTCACCAGAAATGGGCTTCACACATTGTACCCATGTGGGGATTCGAACCCGGGTCTTCGGCGTGACGAGCCAACGCTTTAACCACTAGGCTACCCCACCGCCCCGTTGTTGAAGGAGAAACATGTATGAAAAATTAAAAGTAATGTTGTTCTTAGGTAAATATAATATAATTTTAAAACACATTTATGGTTTCATGGGCGTGTACAGATGGCCACAAATGGAGGCTACGAATGGGTGAATTTACATAGATTGCATCACTTTTAACTAAACCGCCTTGATCAGAATGTTCATTTATTTTCAAAGTACACTAAACATAGCTCTATACACTTTTGCACAGTATACTCTATATTCCCAAGTACAATGCATACACAATAAAGTGTAACATTCTTTTGACCAACCGCGATCATCTGGGCTAGATCAAACAAACAAACACAACATTCTTCAGACAAAGAAAGAAGAGCATATTGTTATTGCACAGAGGGGGCGGTGGGGTAGCCCAGTGGTTAAAGCGTTCGCTCGTCACGCCTAAGACCCGGGTTCGATTCCCCATATGAGTGCAATGTGTGAAGCCCATTTCTGGTGTCCCCCGCCGTGATATTGCTGGGATATTGCTAAAAGCAGCGTAAAACCAAACGCACTCACTCACTATTGCACAGAGTATGCAATATACACTATAGCCATCACTGCCGATTGTCAGTTCACTATGTATTCCTTCTATTTACCTAATGGAGTATATTTATAAAATGTTGCACGTTCCCAAATGCCATGTACATTATTAATGCTTAATGTCACACATTCCATATCACAATTACAACACATGTATACGATGTGACACATTCTGTACACACGGAACGCTACATAGACAGATGTGTGTGTTTCTTACACCGAGCAAACTATTCACAAATATAACGTCGCACACTGTGACATGGGAAGTACGTTATGTCAACAATGTCGCACACTGTGACATGGGAAGTACACTATGCAAACAATGTCGCACACTGTGACATGGGAAGTACACAATGTAAACAATGTCGCACACTGTGACATTGGAAGTACACTATGTAAACAATGTCGCACACTGTGACATGGGAAGTACACAATGTAAACAATGTCGCACACTGTGTACACACAATGTTGCACACTGTGACATGTAAACAATGTCGCACACTGTGACATGGGAAGTACACTATGTAAACAATGTCGCACACTGTGACATGGGAAGTACACTATGTAAACAATGTCGCACACTGTGACATGGGAAGTACACTATGTAAACAATGTCGCACACTGTGACATGGGAAGTACACTATGTAAACAATGTCGCAATGTACACGCACACTGTGACATGGGAAGTACACAATGTCGCACACTGTGACATGGGAAACACTATGTAAACAATGTCGCACACTGTGACATGGGAAGTACACTATGTAAACAATGTCGCACACTGTGACATGGGAAGTACACTATGTAAACAATGTCGCACACTGTGACATGGGAAGTACACTATGTAAACAACGTCGCACACTGTGACATGGGAAGTACACTATGTATGTAAACAATGTCGCACACTGTGACATGGGAAGTACACTATGTAAACAACGTCGCACACTGTGACATGGGAAGTACACTATGTAAACAATGTTGCACACTGTGACATGGGAAGTACACTATGTAAACAATGTCGCACACTGTGACATGGGAAGTACACTATGTAAACAATGTCGCACACTGTGACATGGGAAGTACACTATGTAAACAATGTCGCACACTGTGACATGGGAAGTACACTATGTGTGACATGGGAAGTACACTATGTAAACAATGTCGCACACTGTGACATGGGAAGTACACTATGTAAACAATGTTGCACACTGTGACATGGGAAGTACACTATGTAAACAATGTCGCACACTGTGACATGGGAAGTACACTATGTAAACAACGTCGCACACTGTGACATGGGAAGTACACTATGTAAACAATGTCGCACAGTCTAGTTGTTAAAGTAAACTATAAAACGGCACATTTGTTACATGCGAAGTACACTGTATACTCAACGGCACGCATTCTATATATTTACAATGTCACTTTATAAAGAATGTCACAATTCTTACATGCAAAATGTACACAATACATATTGTCACACATTTTTACATGCGATGTACATCATAAACACAAGGCCAGACATTCTGTTTTCGAAGTAATCGATACACAATGTCGCACATTCTGTTTTCGAAGTAATCTTTACACAATATCGCACATTCTATCTACAAAGTACACAATCTACACAATGTCGCACATTCTATCTACAAAGTACGCAATCTACACAATGTGACACATTCTATCTACAAAGTACGCAATCTACACAATGTTGCACATTCTATCTACAAAAGAGCACTATATACAGAAAACGGTGTACCAGCTACGTGAAGTGGTTCAGATGTCAAGCAAGGAATGTTGTACACGTTCAGTTCAGTTCCAAGTACCACGTACGTACAATTTCGTTAAACATTTGTTGGATACCGGGTAGATTTTTGTTCATTTGGCAACTGAGTTTACAATGAGGCATATGAATATATAGTGAGTGAGTATAGTTTTACGCCGCTTTTAGGAATATTCAGCAATATCACGGCGGGGGACACCCACATGTAAAGTATGGGCGTGTGTTATTGAAACAACCTGTCGCTTCAGCTTCCCCGTTGTCAGTATGTGTCATGCTCTGTTATGTGGTATGGTTGAAGGAAGGATCATTAAGGAGCACTTGGGAACTGCTGATTAGGTGACCCTGCGACAATCTGACGTCAAAAGGGCAGGGGAAGAGAGAAGGGGGTTGGAGGATTGGGGTGGGGGCCTGGGGATGGTTTTATTGTTAAGCAAAGGCGCGATGTTGGCCGGATGGGGCGTTGGGCAAGTAGACAATTTTCATTTCCGATACAAAATGTGCTGATCTGGCAGCAGACTGCACTAGCTTTCCTTTATTGTTCTACATGGGTCTTCCGTTTTCACTTGTACAAACACTGAAACGTAATATGATCCGAAATTTCAGCTCGTTTCGATATTTGTATTATATGAAATATTTTGACAGGCATCTCTCTTTTCATGACTCGTGAAGGTCTGGGATAGAATTGATCTTCAGCAACCCATGCTTGTCGTAAGAGGCGACTAACGGGATCGGGTGGTCAGGCTCGCTGACCTGGTTGACACATGTCATCGTATCCCAACTGCATAGGTCGATGTTCATGCTGTTGATCCCTGGATTGTCTGGTCCAGACACGATTATTTATAGACCGCCGCCATATAGCTGGAATAATGCTGAGTGCGGCGTAAAACTAAACTCACTCACTCTCTTTTCATAAATAATATAGACGAGCAGAATCTATATAATATTAAGGAATGTCCACCGAAAGAGGAGGCCCTTGCTGGATGACGATTCCGACAGTTTCCTTAGCAATTAGCTGTGAATCTAACAGTGATGATACTATAGGTTGGTACATATTTGCGACAGGAAAATATTTATTGCCCCACATACGACACCTGACATAAACACACGCGAAGGCAAATAAATTGTTGACCTAAAAACACGTGTGGTGCAAGGCAAAATGAGGAACTGCGTCGGATATAGCATTTTTGCCTAGGATGCTTCAGGTTTGAAATTGTTCTGAATATGTTCTCGAAAAATTTAGAAAGCTGAGGCCTTTAATTTTGTTTTCCTGAACAAAATCTTTTGATCAAGAACCGTAAGATACTCTTTGAAATATTTGAAGTTCATGCTAGGAAAAATGTCTACAATGAAAATTATTGCAACTCGATTTGGAATGAAATGAATGTGTCTTAAATCATAACAGGTGTCCTTATGTCAGTATGTATGTACGTCTGTACGCTCGTCTGTACTCATGTGTGTAGGTTCGAAATGACCAATTCTGTACATCTGTGGTTATGTACATTAATAACATCACGATGATTCAATATGGATAGATCCAATACTCCTGACATGTTTTATTAAAATCGAGTTCAATTTCCGTCTGGGCTGTGCAACATTTCATTTCAATGTCTGACTCACTAATCACATCGTCTGCTTTTGTTTAACAGCAGACGACAATCGATCGAGCGAATCGTGCGCAAACGCGCCCCCTAACGGTGAAACCTTCGTGTCCGCTCGGCAAAGTGTCATTGTCGCTCGGCTGTGCCCAAATAGCATTCCGAAGTGACGTCACGGATTTGACCTGTACAGAGTTGGCCTACATTGACGGTTCTCCTTCGACAGCGACTAGCCCGTGCCTCTGAGCGGATTTCTAGTGACAGCCGGCTCGCACAAGGACCTTCTACGTGGATTTTACCACTGAGTCCAGCCACTGTCCGCTTCTGCTGACCAGATCTTCAACCGGCGAACATCACACAGGTAAGAGGGAGTCGGAGGATTAACCAGACGCACCCATGTGCTGGTCGAACCGGTTACTGGTTAGAGTCCCGATTGACCTTAACATTCCGTGTCACAAGTCACTATTTCAAATATCCCAAATTCGAAGATTTTGGATTCTGATAAACAAACCACAGCGTCACTCAGTAGTAAAATATATTACATCTTTGCTTTCATTCATAATATTAAATAGGATCTGGTGAACATTTGATGTTAAATCTTCCTGTTTGGCGAATGACCGCAAATCAAGTGGTTTGACAGCAGCCTGTTAAGTTTTATGTTTTGCATTGGATTAAGGATTTGGGTTGAAGTCTGGACCTGAAGTGTAGAACATGATCTATAAGCCTGGTCTGTATGTGATGGGTCAGCCGCCTGGCTGTGGAACATGCTGGATTCCATCCACATTTATACAACATGATGTCATGTGTGGCTCTAGTCGGGCTCAGCAAAACAACCGCTCCACTGGGCTGGGCTCGGCATGTATTATTTCCATATTTGGATAACACGGTGTCACAGTGAGATTGTGTTGTTTTAGCATGTGCTGGTCATAGGAAGACCCCCGGGATGGTCAGAAGCTCGTAACCTGCTAGACACTGACAGTTTCAAACACAACATCCATGTTTGCCATGGTCGGCCGGCTAAATCTGCCGGTATTTACTTGTTTCCGTTTCCCAGCGACTCTGAGTTGTGTGCGGAGGCTGTGCTTGTCGAGTCTGTGTGTGATGATGTTATGTAGAAGGAAATGATGTGCAACAGCAGTGATATGGTTCGTCAGTCGAAACACTGGCTGATGATTATCTACCAGACCGAATCCGGGAATTTAGAAAAATCACTGAGTTTAACTGAACGGCAGTTTAAATACTGATTGTTTTACTAGTCGTGTAATAAAAGGGAGTAGGAGATGTCTCAGTATAAAACTGGTTTCGTCACTGGTCTCCCTCTTCCTAACCAAACCGCAGACGTTACAATGTTTGTCAGTAAAAGTGTCGTCTGCTTGTGGGACTCTGTGAACTATTTACCCAAGCCTGTATCACTAAGTTCAGTCTATCAATGAAGAAGTCTTGTCACATAATCAGCCCCGCAGGCACAGCTAACATGAGGAGAATCATAAAAAATATGAAAACAATTTGTTACAAAGCTTGATACTGGTCCTATTGACACGTATAGATGTAGGTGAACCTTTAGAACATGTGTTCAAGGTTCACTTGCATCAGTGTTGACTTGACGCCGTCACAGCTGGCTATTTCATAACGTAAACAGTCATGTATATTAAACAGTGTGTTGTTGGGGATTCAATACATTGATGTGTGTAACCAGATACTTCATATGTGCATTGACAGTAGACATGAGGTCTGTTTGAACAATACAGAACGTATATGTCCTATGTTGACATGCTCCGCTTCTCTGCGTGTTATTTGAACAGACGACCCAACCGCTCCCCATTATGAAAACCCATAACAACCCGCCTTGATCCTTCTTCTAGAAACATGATCATTAACCCGTGACGCGATGTCAAGGTGACGCAATTCCCAAGTGGTTGCACCACCTGCCTTGTTCTGTAATCTGTCTTTTACTACATGTCCACATTAGGTTCTTGGACCTTCAATGACGAGGTGATGAGCTTGATCGATGTAATATTACCAGTCACGTTGACATTTGGTCTGAGCTCCAAGAGATATGGACGTCGTTATATTTACTTAACAACAATTAGTCTGTCCCTGAGGCAAATTACGAATTCATCTATGCCATTATGCATGGACACATACCAAGCCCAATACCACACATCATACTCGTGTGGGTCTACTCCCATTTGTGAGAACTCCCAGTTGTGAGACTCCCAGTTATGAGACAGTGGAGTAGGTAATTAACAAAGAAAACACACCATACTCCCCTGTCTGATAGAATTGTTTAACCCTAGCTACTTACTGATTTGCTATGTAACTGAATCTTTTGGAGGTAACTTAATGAAACTTTATAAGATAAATTGATTAACATACTCCAATAAATGTCCTTAAAAATTAAACACTTTGAAAATGATAATAAAATATGTTTAAACCAAAATGACTTTCAAACTTCATAATAGTCAATAAAAATGTGTTATCATAATTACATATTCTTCTGAATAAATAAAATATTAAATGAACTATTTCTTCTTTGTAAATAAAATCTTTGATAATCTATTTCATTAATCAACTCATCAATGAACTATGCCTCCTGTGGGTACTCTTCAACAACTGGGCTGATCCCACTTTCATTGTGGGGATGTGGAAACACCACCTATGTGCACTAAACCATTAATTAATGTGTCTCACAACTGGGAGTTCTCACAAATGGGAGGACACCCTCGTGTGTCTAACCTATGTAGGCTGAAGTAGTACTCAGAAATGTTGAACATACATCGCAAATGTACACCTCATATACTAATCACAATTTGCGCTGAATATATACTTAGCGAAAACGGCTAGGAATCACGAATATCTTCAGGAATATTTTTTTGTAGCAAAGGCTGAGTTTGTTTAAATGTGTACTGTAATAACTATTTCATGATCCCTAACATATTTTGTTCAGTATGGATATTTCATAATGGAATTGTGCATTGGACACACCCTATACTAAATTATCTGATATGGAGTTCCCGAAAAACAGGATGAAACTTTTCACTTTGAAATATCTGTATCCGTCCCACGTGTTCACTAGTCGATGAGTTTCGTTATCAGTCACCGAGCATTTGCAGCTTTGTTTGGGGAATGCTTGTGTGCAATAGTCTAGTGCCATTGTTTCCTGTGTGAGGTCGGGACGCCATGACGACCACCTGAAGGGCTTGTAGAAGAAGGACAATCACAGCACTGACATCCCCGACTTTAACTGCAGGGAGGGGAACAGTATATACAACGTCTCCTTTGTCACTGAGTGTCTCATGGTTGACGTAACTTGAGATGACTTCCTTAATTCTCCATTGCTATTATTCCTCCTACTACATCTACTACTGCAACAACGCCTACTACTACTGTTACTACTACTACTACTACTACTACTGCTGCTGCTGTTGCTACTACTACTACTGCTCCTAGTGCTACTATTACTACCATCATCGCTACTACTACTACTACTACTACTACTACTACTACTACTACTACTACTACTACTACTTCTACTGCTGCCGCTGCTGCTGCTGCTGCTACTACTACGACTACTACGACTACTACGACTACCACCGCCACCATCGCCATTACTACTTCTGCTACTAGTAGTTCTACTACCGCTACTGCTTCTACTACTACTACTACTACTACCACCGCCACCATCGCCATTACTACTACCTCTGCTACTAGTACTACTACTACCTCTACTACTAGTAGTACTACTACTACCGCTCTCTGCTTCTAAACTACTAGCGACTACTATTACTACCAGGGCTCCTTTTCAATATAAATGGGCCATCCAAATTATATATATTCTAAGCCTTAGTCTACTACTACTACTACTACTAGTAGTACTACTACTACTACTACCGCTACTGCTTCTACTACTACTACTACGACTACTATTACTACCACCGCCACCATCGCCATTACTACTACCTCTGCTACTAGTTCTGCTACTACCTACTACTAGAATCCTCCTCGACTCAAAATACTACCACATCTTCGACCTACAGACGCTGATGCCAGGAGCTGGACCTGAGGTGTATTGACGAACCATAAAGGAAAAATCTATAACTTTCATATCCCGTGTCTGCGTCGACCGTAACGCCATTGCGGCCCTGTTCATTAACTGCAGTGCAATAACGGATATATCCTCCACGCGTGGGGCGAGTTTCATCGACTTAGTATGTAGCGTGTTCCAAGCAGGTCTCTGCCATCTCGGCCCTCGGGCTCTGTGTCAACCGTTCCTGCTGGAGTGTGTGGGGTGGAGTGGAGCGTTGGGGGGAACGGAATAAACTCACCCTTGCGAGCTATTCAAACGAGTGGCCTTAGACTTACATCTAGTCTGTACTGCTAATCTACACTTGCCACATGTTCTGGACTTTCATGGGCTGCATTGGGTATATTTGATTCAGGGTCTGTATGCCAGACTCGCTAAAGTCTTTAGTCTGCCTCACAGTCCCTGACGACCCGTGACGGTCCGGGTTTGAATGAACCTTCAGTAACCCATAACTGTCGTAAGAGGCAACTAACGGGATCGGGTGGTCAGGCTAGCTGACTTGGTTGACACATGTCATCGGTTCCCAATTGCGCAGATCGATGCTCATGCTGTTGATCACTGGATTGTCTGGTCCAGACACGATGATTTACAGACCACCGCCATATAGCTGGAATATTGCTGAGTGGAGCGTAAAACTAAACTCACTCAGTCACATACAGTCCCTGACGCGCATTATTTCCCTTCCGTCCAGCACTTTCTGCAATACTACAGCCAAAAATGAAACAAGTCTAGATTTCCAACTCACTGAGACTTCTTTGCAATTTAAATGGAATTATTTGTTTCTATCAAACGTATATATATTCAGAAACTAAGCATTAGTCTACCTGCCTCGCAGTCCCTGAACGATTTTCCCCTTTACTGCAGCTGCCTGCAAAGCAACAACCAGAAATAAGGCAAGTCTAAGATTTCATCGGGTTCAGTGTGAATCTCCCATCGAAATGGGGCTCCTTTTCAATTTAACTTGAGTTTTTGTTTCATTCCGAGTTATATATATTCAGAATCGTTTCACATATTCTTCATAGGTCTACGAGACGAGGAGAATACAACTTAGTGATATGATGGCAATGTATCTATATCGTTTGAGTGAGTTGTGGTTTTACCCCGGTTTTAGCAATATTCCAGCAATATCACGGCCGGGGACACCAGAAATGGGCTTCACGCATTGTACCCATGTGGGAAATCGAACCCGGGTTTTCGGCGTGACGAGCGAACGCCTTAACCACTAGGCTACCCCACCGCCCCCTGTATCGTTTGAGGAACCAATCGGTCTCCATTCT